GTCAGTGTAGATTGTAGATTTTAGCACAGTCTAGTGGTGATGTTATACATTGCTTTAATACCTCTGACCTTATTTTCCCCACACAAACATGTCAGAAACGTACGGTGAGACCACAGTTGGTATGTAGTTCTTCTACTGTCTAATGAAAATGTATGACATTTTAACCTGCTCTAAATGAGGTGGTTAATTACACTGACGAGTTTTTCACTTGTTCACCCACAAACAAACTGCAAAAAAATGGCTGTTACAATACAAGGCTAATGAGTTAAAAACTATCTCATTTTCAAGTAGTGACTGGAAACAACCACATCAGGGAGTCAGTGCAGGTACGAGTTCTCCAGCTCCTCCATTACTGCCTGTCCTGGCACACCAAAATCATTTTCAGACATATTCCTGACATTCCTTGGTGCTGGGATAGTATAAATGGCAGTTGTTCCCCAGGCAGGAAGTGGGTTTTAATTAACAATGCAATAACGTGGACGACAGGGGAGTGTAGGGAGGGAGAGAGAGAGAGAGAGAGACAGAGAGAGAGAGAGGAGAAGGAAGAAGAGTCATTACCTGGGCTGACTTGCTGAGTTTCACACTGCACTCCTTCTCCATCTGCTTCAATCTGCTGTTGGTCTGCAAGAACGAGAAGAAGAGTGTGAGGGACCGATGGAGAAACATGAAAACACGGTTGAAACTCCTGCTGCTGCGAAGAGCGCTGGCTGCACACGCTCTCAAATTGACCTCTGTCTCCTGGCAGTTTGTTCCTGCGGTGCCGGCCTGTGGCCCCCCTGGCACCGGGCCAGACCTGGAGCTCATGTGTGCCAGCAGGTAGTGACAGGGATGGTGCAGAGCGGGCACCGCTCCGCTCTGATCGCCTGCCAACAATTCATCACTTAACAAGACGTGCAATGGAGGAATTAAAACTTTGCTGCCAATTAGCTACAGGGAGGAAAAAAAAAACAGAAATGGCAGAGGGACAAAAAAAATTAAATAAAAAAATATAAATGATAGAATTGGAATAACAGTGGATAACAGTATTTTAGCTGCACCTGCACTGAGTGTCAACTTATTAATTGTTAGCAGGATGTTAATGGAAGAGGCCGAATGATGAAGTCAGATAATAATCAGTGATGGTGATGTCAGTGGTCCATAAAACTTTTTAATCTTACCATTGTCACCATTCTGGACACTGTGTTTTTTTAATTAGTGAAGTAACTATATAATTCTGTGCGTGGGTAAACACCACTCTGCTCTGCATCCCGGTGTTTCATCAGTGTTTGTCACTGACTCTTTGTTGATCACAGCTCTAACGTTTCCCCACAGATGTTCCACAATTCTAAGCTCTTTAAGAATCTCTAAAAGTTTCTGTCAGAGATAAGAGGGAAAACTTTTGATGAGGAACAAAGTACAACCCAACTTTTGGAAAACTTCCTGTTCAGGAAGCACATGTAGAGCTGTGCAGCTCCTGTGATAAGAAAGGCTAAAATTCCCCTTAAAATAGCTTTAAAATACACAGAAACACACACACACACACACACAGTCACACACAGATCCGTCTGGCTTTGAGCGAGAGCCCCTGACAGACAGACAACTCACTAACACACACGGTTTCATTGAACACACCCTCGTCGCCATCAACACCTGAGCTTCATTTGGACTCTTGCGCCTCATCCAAACACTTCCTGACAAACACTGCCGTCCGCTTTGAGCGGACACACCTGTCACCAGAGAAACACACACAAATCACCAAGGATACTGGGCCGTCTCCCTGCACCGGGACTGTTTTTTCCCCCGACTGGTTCGTCCCTGGAGGCCTTAAAGCAGCTGATGAGAGAGAGGGAGACAAAGAAGGCTGTAGGAACAGGCGAGAGAAAGAGCAGTGTGTGGGAGAGAAGCGCAAACGGAGTCCTTCGGTGGTTTTTTTCCCCTCCTCTACAGCTGACACATTTGTCTTCTCCCTTTACTGCTGCCGGGCTGCTCCGTGTTGGCTACAGCTCGGCTGAGGCGACACTGGAACAGTCAGAACGTGGTATTTTTAGCTACACCTGCACCGCCTGTCAACTTATTAATTGTTGGCAGGATGTTTTTCTTTCTTTCTTTCTTTATAAACCCAGATTATTGGTGAGAATAAACTGTTATCTTTGGTATTCCTAGATGTACAAACATGTTAAACTTTATTCACACTCAACTATCTATCAAAGGGTTAAATCACACCACCACAAATGCATGCTGGGTATTGAGATAATTTTACTTCAATGAAACCAAAATTCTTTTTCACAGTGTGTTTAAATAACAACATGTCTATCAACTGTGTATTCAGGCAACGACAAGCAATGAATAGACCAGTAGCTAGCTAGGAAAAATAAATGTGTAATTAATATGAAATATAGTTAAATGTTGCCATGTATGTGCATAGATAAGAACATAAGCACCACACATATATATATGTATTTATATAAAAACATATCATGTGCATAGATAAGTACATAAGCACCACACACATATATATGTATTTATATATAAACATATATATATATATTCCAATTTCCCATTTATCTCTCTATCTGTTTACATATATACACATACACTATATACCTATATATGTATATACTGTATATGTGTGTGTAACAGACTGTGACCTGATGATACTCACACATGAAGTATCAACTCACTGTCAGTGTGTACATAAAGATGCATAAAAATGAATGTTCTCTAAACACTGAGCCACGGCCTCAGACGGTGGGGGAGGAGCCAGTCCAGCATGACTCTGACAAATATATTAGACAATTAGGAAAACACTGAAATGCAGTTATGTGTGTGTGAGGTGTGTGTGTGTGTGTAGGCACTCTTAAAGACACTACCTGTGCCTTGCCAAAGGCACTTTTGTGCTGAAGGCAGTTTCACTCTCTTCAGTGGCCTCTTAATCGTAGCGTGTGGAGTGCGGCTGCTTTGAAGTGTGCGTGTGTGTGTGCGCGCGCGTGTGTGTTTTTGCACGTCGACAGGGTGGTGCATGTGTGTGTGTATTCAAGAGAGTAGAAAGGGATCTGAAGGAAAGGCAGGCAAGGCCTACCAGAACTTAATTAACAATCTGCAGTAGGAATCAGGGCACACACACACACTCACACACACACACTCACACACACACACACACGCCTGAGAAATGACAGGAGTGGCAAAATGCTGGGTGACAAACTCTTCTCTCTCTCTCTATTCCTTTCTCTCTCACACACTTGTTCATTAGTGAATACAGACGAGGTTGAACAGGAAACACAGTGAGCTCACATTTAATACAGGTTTAAACTCTGGTTCTATCCCTTTTAATCTGACCACTGAAGATCAACTGACACTGCTACAAAATACCCTTTTCAACAATATCCACATATAAACTCCCACAGAAGACAGAACAGAACAGAATAGAAAAATGTTCATATTTTTTTTGTTTATGTTTCATTCTCACCATTAGGTTCGTGATAATGGAATTGTTCTGGCTGCTCATGTTTCTGGTCTTTCTGAATGAGTTTTGTGTTTCTATGTTGACTGTCTTTTTTTCTGGTTTCCCACACAGACCAAATTCACGCAGTTCAGATTAACTGTTCACTCTCAATACTATACTCATACTAATCATTTTTTGTCCTTATTCCGTATGTGGCTCTGTGAATCCCTGTCAAAAGGATGTAGTCACAGTAAATACGTCACTGTCAAGTGTTAAACTACATTTAGTTTCTGTTTTCTTTTTTTTTTCTTGCTGAATGTTTAGATCCGCCTCAGTGTTCCAGGTGATGAGACAGAGAACAGGGTTGGACGGATCACACGGTGTCTTCTTCAGTGTCAACCCGCAACACACAGAACTCTGTAGTATATTCTCCCTTTTTTTTTTTTTTTTTTTTGCAGCAACCATTTCTCAACAAAGTGAATCTTTTCCCCATTGTTCCTCCAAAGCCTTCAGTTTCTGCGGTGTTTGTGAGCATTCAGAATGATTCTCTGTTCGCCACGCATGTCTCTCATAACAATTTGAGTTCAATGTGCCACAGAGAGAGAGCTGGGAGATGTTATTTGCTAGTTTGTCTGTAATCATTGCCGTCTCGCTGTTCTCGCCTCTGTATCTGTCTGAGCGAGGGAGAGGGTTGCTGCTGTAATGACAAGAGGCGTTATTTCCATTTCACAGGTTGCCATCACTGCCTGTCAGTAGTGATTCTCTTTCTTCTCGGTGTTGGTGTCGGTGCAACGCTACACACGCTGCAGACGCGTTAAATCCGAGGCACATATAGAGAACCAGTCGCAGATAAACATACATCAGAAACACAGACGCAACCGCACCACTCCAAATGTTAGGCAGTCACCGTGAACGCGCTCAACAGGCGACTTAGTGGTATCACAGAACCAATTACAGCCAACGTTATCAGTTCTTTTGCAGTCCACTGTGTATGAATTAGCAGCATCTAGTGGTGAAGTTACACCGGAGGAAGGATGTTGGGGTTTGATAGAACACACAAGAACTGTCAGGAGTCCCTTAAAGACACGATGTACTTAGTTTGTACAACTGAGTTGAGCTCTTCGAGTTAGTGTTTATTAAGGTAACTAACTCATGTTAGTAACACTGACAACCAAATCATCATCTGAGGCTAACACGTCTTTCAGGAGTCTGTTAACTTGGCTAATATTCCTAGCATCTATGGGAGTGAAGGGATGTAGGTTAGTGGAGATCAGCGACTCACGATTCCAGTAGTCCATTTTTAACATGTTTACTCTCTCCTATTGGACGCTGAACTCTGGTTCACCCGTGACAGAAAGTAGTCTTCCCCCTGATAGACTTGACTTTCTGTCTATTTATGCTTCCATCCTCCCTTTGATCAGTAAATCTGCCTGATGTTCAGATCAGGAACTTCAGCCCAAAACCACACAGCCTTCGTATCATGGTGTCCCACTTAAAGCTGCACTTCAAACCAAAGTGTAGTCTGCAGCGAGCAACACGACGGCGCTGCCTGATGCCATGTTTTAATGCGATTGAGAAAGTGTGTCGCTTCCCTCCCTCCTGTTGGATGACTTCAAAAAGTGAGCCAGGGAGCTGTGTGATGTTTTTTGGGGGGGATGACAGAACCTTTACTCTTTCATGTGCTTGTCACAGTCTCTCTCTCTCCCTCGCTCACTGCCGCTGGGTCTGATGGTGCACTGAGGAAACGATGAGCCCACATAAGTCTGGGCACGTGCTCATGCGCACCAGAATTACTTAGGTCTCGTGTGCCCCATCTATCTGCTGACATTAAATATGTAAAGATGTATATGTAATTTAAAGACACGGGTACAGCATGACGAACACCCAAACTTCCCTCTCTCCCCCTCCTCACATCAGATTGTTCTCCCTGCCTCACCTTCCCACTGCGTCCCAGTTAGTCAGTCAGTGAGGTGAGTGTGTGTGTGCTGCTCTTTGATCATCTCTCAGCCTGTGTTTCTCGTCTCCTCATCTAATCCACGACGGCCTGAAATAATGTGATTTGCTGTATCTCCAATTGACAGAGGACCCAAAAAACGACTATCTCATCAGTAACGACAGAGAAGAGAGGAAAAAAACAAGGGGACTGTGACGACAACCCTGCACCTTCTTGTCTTGGCTGAGGGACAAGTGGCAGGAATTCATACAGTGCTGTGCAACCCCCCCCTCCCCCGCAGCACTATTTTCTTCTTTGAAGTAGTGTATGTAAAACAAAGAAGTACAGGTAGGGCCGCATGGCCGCCAATGGCGAGGGTGCATGGAAAAAGTTCATTTATATATATATATAGTATCAGAAATCTGTGTTGTAATATTTGTTTTGCTAATTAACTTATTATCTTGCATTAGTTTAACTACATAACAGTTACTCAGGACACTTTAGAGATTTTTTTTTCTTTCTTTCTTCTCAGTGACAATAAGCAATTGAAGGGAAACATATGTGGTCTGTGGCCTAAAACTGAACATGTGAGGACTATTTTGAGCGTTTGGAAAGGCAGATAGGAATTTTTCAACTTTTTCTGCTTTTATAGACCACACAAACAGTTGACTAAATGTTAGAACGGGGGAATTGGTTGCATTTGTTTGCTGCAGGGAACACAAAAAAATGTCAATAGAGCCAGAAAAAAAACTTCAAATACATATAACTACAAACAAACTGGATTAGAGGAGGGGTCATTTGACCAGACTAGGGGGCGATATTAAGCTTGAAAATGCCACTAAATTTTGTTCAATGAATTTATTCTCTATTACAAAATTCCCTTTTGTGGCAGACACAAAAGAATTATTGAAATTGAGTTGCCTTATTTCGCCCTCCCCGTAACTGCTCCACGCTCCCCACATTGGGAACCACTGCTGTAACACAAGCGCAATTTCTATAAAAATACTCAGCTTCAAACAACTAAAAAAAAAAAAATGATGCAACCATTGTTTGCACAGCTTTACTAGATTTTCTTTTCGACTTAATTGTATAATGTGGAAAATAGGATGTGCATGTTCTGCAGTAAAGACTCTGGGTGGTCCGCTCACAAGTGCACCGGCCTAAATATGGATGTGAATACAACAAGAACACAGTGAAGGCACATTCAGATCCAATCAGTAAAACCACATTCAAGCGTGGTCGGAGACACGTGTGTCCACATGTGGAGAATAGTGTGAAAGTAGATGCATCTCCAGCCACATAAAAAGACTGCGCAGTCAGCTCTGAGCACAGCACAACAAACAAAGGCTATATACAGAAGATCTCCCTGTGCCAAACAACAGGAGTGAGGTTTTGAAGTCTGCGCCTGAGCTCTTGTACAAAATAACAGCTGCACTCCTCTTTGCCAGCTGCATCTCTGAGCACAAACACGTTTTTTTTCTTCTTCTTCTTCATGCAAACGTCACGATCTTCCAGAAATGGACAAAATAAGCTCTCGTTTCTCACACGTGAACTTAAACGCCATTTATGAGAATTTATGAATGAACTGCATGTGCATTAGATCAAGATGCAAAAATGAAAATGTGATTTTACATATACATTAATCAGTACTGTTCCTGACACACGTTTTGTTACGATGCTCTGGTAAAAAAAAGTCATTTTGTGAAAACGTAAGTAAATTTTGTGAACAGAAGTGAGAAGTTCAAGCTCCAGTGTAAGGAATGTCATGAAGGGCATGAGGCCGAACCATAGACATACCATACACTTGGAAAGAGTTGTTTTTATTTATTTATATATTTCCAAATATATGAATTTGTCTAATGCCAAAGAAACAAATAAAACCGCCTAAAGCTAGGGGCTAAAGTTTATTTACTCATTTTGCGTAACCTTTGTAACATTCAGCCTCTGATGAAATATTCCATGTATATATGTCAACGCATACATGCATATATTCACTATTCCCTGAAAACACCCACTGATATAATGCATTTCCTGGTCCTTCACCTCGAGCATTCCACACAACTCCTACGCTAAAGTAAGACCTAACAACTTTCACTTCTGCTCCGAGACATTTTTGACTGATTTATATTTCTGCAAACACTTGTTTGCTGCTTGGAGAGCTGCTACCTTAGCATTCCTGTTCCTCCGTGTTCCAGGATTATCTTATCCCTGTTCTCCTGCAAACTGCAACAAACTTTGTGTCCTCCATCCATCCATCCATCCATCCATCCATCCATCTATTGTGATGTCAAACATCATTATGTCTAAAATAACACTTTATATTTATTTCAAGTTATCGGTTGCTGTAGTGCAGTAGTCCCAGGTAACTATCAGAACCCACCTGTCCCTCTGACTGCACACACATACTCTTCCGACACAGTTCAAAGAGCCACACCCTCCAGACGAAGAGTAAATATGATTTTAAGGCTCCTTTTGTCGTACATGAGCTGAAAAGAATCCAAACAAAGAAGCTTTTCCTCACTAACTAAACTGTTATTGTCATGTCCCTGAACACAGAAGAGTGTGTGCCGCAGAGCCACGCTGAGATCTGGTCGGACTGTAAACCCTAACGTTCGAGGCTCTGCTGCAACTTGAAGGCAGGAGGGTGAGACGGGGGACGGCAGGTGGACGGCAGGGGGGGTGTGAGGGGGGATAAGGAAGTTAGATAAGGAGGTGGTGTGGGTGAGAGGCATATAACTGTGAGCCAAAGATGAGGTGCATTTATCTGAGTCAGCTTCACAGACCCCTCTGTGTGTGTGTGTGTGTGTGTGTCTCTCTGTTTGTGGAAACTGAAATAAATGGACTGATCTGAGTCTGTGTTATCATCCACACTTACATTTCCACCAGCTCCACTGCCTCCTCCTAAAACAACAGCCATTCCCCATGTAATCCCTCCCCCTCTCTCTCTCTCTCTCTCACCCGTCATCTTACCCTTAAACGAATGTGTCTTTGATGAGAAACCATTCATGGATTTAATGGAATTCTCTAGCCTTTTTTCCTGGATCTGGGAGATGTGTTTAGGAAAAAAAAGCCCAGCCCAGGCTTCACTTCCTCACAGCACAGTGCACTGCAGCGGACAGCATTTCTGCTGGCTTCAAACGAATGAGAAATTTCCAGCTTACAGAACAGGTCAATATAGATCTGAGGCCTGGCTGACATCAGTCCCATGTGAAGGGAAAAAAAGTGAATGCAACTTTTTTTTTTCTTATTTCTGCCCACTACGAAGTAAAACCAACGGACAGACTGGGATATAGAAAGATGTTCAATCTTTGGTGAGGATTTTTGTAGAAGCTTTGAATTTCTATTATATACATACATATATAAAGTCAGCTGAAATTCATATATAACTAAAACCTATTGCAAAATTCATCCTCACATTTTTCCTTTTTTCTTTAACCCATAGCCTAGTTTCCCAAATAGCTGTAGGTTGTCGTTTCACTCTGAGGAAAAAGATTAAAACGTAATAGTGACAGCCTTCACATCTGAAATTGGGGACAGATTCTCTTGGTTCCTTCTCGCCTCAGTTTCATTTGGATCCTAAATGGCTGCTGTTTTTCTCTTAAACGCCTGTTTCTGGGGTTAATTCTACACACGTGGAGTAAAAATGGAGGAGTCTGTGGAAAAAATGCCGTCTTTGATGGGGCCTGCTGAGGGATAAGGTTCTGATCAACACCGTCCTGGGTCAGATTCCTGTTAAACCAGACCAGGATTATGGGAGATTTCCCGCCTCTGGGTGTAGTCGCCACAAAGGCGGGAAAGCAAACATTACACAAAAAGGTCAGAGAAGAAAAATAAAATTCTAAAAAGATGAGATGTCAGGTGACAGCCCCAGAGTGATGTTTGGATTCTGAAGTTGCTTCCTGCCTCAGGAAGTCGTTACATCTCTACTCCCCTCACTGACATTTTCTGCCATAATGTAACCAGCTCACTGTCTTCCTGGACGCTGACCTCTGTTACCCACCTTTTCCTCGGTCGCATCCCTCTCCTGTCGGTGGCTTCTCTCGAGGTCGCTACGGATGCGCTCCATATCGGAGCGGAGTCGGTTCAGTGCTGCCTCCTTGTCCAGGAAAGCCCTCTGCTTCTCCTTGTCCCCAATGGCTGCCAGCTCTGCCAGATGCTGCCTGTGCTGGGTGTGGGCTGCTTGAAGTTCATCACGTAGATTTGACAACTGAGCTTCCAAAGCAGAAATGGTCTGAAAACAGACACAAAAGAGGGATTTTACAAGTCAACATATGAAACCTTCCTGTTCAGGGCAGTTAGCAGGAAAGTTTCAGGAACATTCTCCCTGTTCTTCCCTGGACATGAGTGGGTGGCTGCCGTGACCTGACCTCTCTGTCTCTGTTTAAACTGCTCAGCTCTGAGTTTTGCCCCGAAGAGCTCTTTACC